TATTACTAAATGTTAAGACAGCTCATAATGCAATTTATCAATTGCATTGTATTACCATACTGAATAATAATTGGATATAGGGGCAGAACTTTAAAAAATATTGTATTAATTTTTCTAAACCCACAAATAAGATGAATTGCCTTTTAAGACTTCGTTTAAGAAAACAAGTGCTTTAAGGAGATGTTGCTATAGCCCCATTTTCTCTAGATATAAATCCAAATTGTGACAGTTAGATATTTCCCAAGAGGTCACAGTAATGGAAGTGCTAAAAGCCTTGTGAAGTAAAAATGAGTTTGAATTTGTTTATTCAATCAGCTTGTAAAGGGCTATGATGAAATAACTGAGTAGTTAACATAGTGAAATATTGGTGTTATTGATATACCATTTATCTCTCTTTTACACTGCCAGGACTCATTAAATGTATTTTTAAATTTTTCTTCAGCATTAAAAAGAAATTGAATAGCAATGATCAAACAAAATATTGAAAATTTTAAAAACCCCTTCTCCATCCTCAATCTCCAAAATAAGAGCTATACAGCAATAAAACAAAATGCATAGCTTGAATATACAACTTTGACATAATGTACATCTGAACATACATTTTTGATCTGGTACAGAATTTTAAATGTCTATATTAAACATTTCTATTTACAATGTCATTTTTAATCTAAAGTAATCTACTGAAAATTACATTATTGATATAACACTAAAGGAGAAATCAAATATGAATATAACAATCTTTAAAGGTTTCTTCACAATTGTATTAATTTTTAAGCCACTATTATTTTCCATATTTTTGAACTCTATTGATGTGAAGAAAGATATTGGTTTTCAAGTCTATCATGCTGAAGTAAATTTGACAGCTTACAACAAAACAACAGAATTAATTTGAAATTATTAATATTATATGGAAAATGGTATATATCTATTCAGCATCATTTAAGATCAAAAGGAAAATAGACCATAACTTAAACCAGAAAGGGTTGGATTCACATAATAAACGAGGCCAAGACACAGAATAATCTTCATTATAGCTAAATTTAATATATGATTAGAATCACTCTCTCAGCAACTGAGTTATTAAAAGAGCTATTAAACTCTTGTTTTACAGTCACTATTCATAGTGGTCACTTCTACCAACCCTCGAGAAGGAACCCTCCCTTATTTATTTTTTTTCCCTGAGGAGTTTTATCAACTTTATCATTATTAGAATAATCACCTATAACTGTAAAATTTGATGGCTGGGACTCATGACACATCTTTCTTTTTCTTCTACTACACCAATTTTCCTTCAGCAATAGCAATAGCACTTAGACTTATATACCACTTTACAGCCCTCTCTAAGAGGTTTACAGAGTCAGCATATTGCCCCAATAATTTTGGTCCTCATTTTTACTGACCTCAGAAGGATGGAAGGCTGAGTCAACCTTGAGCCTTGTGAGATTCGATCTGCTAAACTGCTGGCAGCTGGTGATCAGCAGAAGTAGCCTGCAGTACTGCACTCTAACCACTGCGCTACCGCAGCTCATCGCAAAATAGATGATAGACTGGAAGACAGACAGATGATAGACAGAGAGAGAGAGGGAGAGAGAAAGAAAGAGAGAGACTGCCATATGATATACACACACACACACAAGTATAATTTAATTTATTTAGTGTAGCTACTACCCAACTCCAGACAATTCCGAGTGGCTCAGAACAAATACAATATAAATTGTCAGAGACAAAATACAAAAAAGGAAAGAAAGAAAAAATAACAAGAATCAAAAACAAGATAGCAGATCAGCCTCAAGAAAATACATCTCACAAGGGCTTCATTCACTTAGCCCATATTTAGAAGAGCCAGGTCTTTCAGGATTTGCAGAAGGCCAACAGGATGGGAGCAGTGGTGGGATTCTGCTGGTTCTAGGGGGTTCGGCCGAACCGTTTGTTAAATTGCTGGTTTGCCCCACCCCTCCACACTACTATTTATTGCCAATAAATGGGATGAGCGAGCCAGCAATTTAACAAACAATTCGGTGTTTTTTTGTAATTTATTGGCCCCGCAGCACACCGAACCGTTTGTTAAATTGCTGGCTCGCCTGCCCCTCACCCCACCCCACCACTATTTATTGGCCAGACAGCACACCGAACCGTTTGTTAAATTGCTGGCTCGCCCGCCCCTCACCCCGCCCCACCACTATTTATTGGCCAGGCAGCACACCGAACCATTTGTTAAATTGCTGGCTCGCCCGCCCCTCGCCCCGCCCCGCCTCCCACCCGTGCGGCGCCAGCCTACCCTAGCCAGGGGTAGGCAATTGTGGCTCTTTTACAACCTGTGGACTTCAACTTCCAGAATTCCTGAGACAGCTTGGCTGTCTCAGGAATTCTGGGAGTTGAAGGCCACAGGTTGTAAAAGAGCCACAATTGCCCACCCCTTCCCTAGCCTGAGTTCCGCTGCCTGGGATCCACGTGGGCTGCCACGTGGTTCCCCACTGGTGCTGGACGGGCTCCAGTGGCTGCAGCGGTGACGGTGGCGATGGCGTCCGGGCAGATCCAACAGGTGAGAGCGCAGGAGGCGCCGCGCAGCGCAGGTGCGTCTTTGCAAAGCGGCATCACAGCCGGCACCTCCTTTCCCCAGCCGGGGCTGCTGCACCTACGCCGCCAGGGAACCGGCAGAGGGAGTGGGGAGGGTGGGCGTGGGGGGGGTGCTATTCAACTGGACTTTTGCAAAACAGGTGCGAGTTGGGGATTCTGATGCTCGACACGCGTTTTGTGTGGCTCGCGGGGAGAGGGGGGTGGGTGGGAATGTGAGCCTGTGGATTGGCTTGTTTGGGGTGGGGGGCCAGGATCTCCGATGACTGGGACTTCTAGGGGATGCTCCTGGCTTTGCAGCAAAGGGGTCTTTAAACCTGCCTTATCTGCGTTCCTTTTCTTTGCAAAGATCCCCTCCCTCCCAAAAAAAGGATGGGTTGTCCAAACGTTTGTGCTGCTGGCTTCCCTGCTTGTCTTGGCTCTGTCAGGGTTGGGTCTCTCTCGCCTGGGGAGAGGGTCTCTTGGATATGTATGTGTGTGTTGTGTTAGGCAAGGCAGGGGGTTGTGATTCACATGGTTGTTAACTTAAGTGAATCCAGCTCCCCCCCATTGATTTGCTTGTTGGAAAGGCTTCCCCCCCACTTCTCATCGCCATCTCAGCCCTTCTGCCCTGCCTTAACCTTAAACCGAGCTGCATTTCCTCCGAAATCCAGTCTGTTCCCTTGCTGGGAGAGACTTTCCTGCCCCTGCCACTCAATTTTCAGGAGTTGTTTGTTTAGAGACAGGAAACCTTCCAAGGTTTCTGGTGGGGGGAGGTTTGAGCTGTGGAATATCTCACTGCCACACATGTGTATCCCCCCCTCGCCCTTTTTTGCCTTGAAAAGGCAGAAGCTTGAAGAGATTGCAGAAAAAAAATGCTCTTAGAAGCTTCTGAGGATCAGGCAACTCAGCATAGATCGTCAGAGGTTTTTAAAGGGATTTTTTGAAGAGGTTGTAGGGAAAAAAAATCACCTTAAAAGCTTCTGGCGATCCCAGCAGATTTGTGTGATCGTCAGAAGCTTCTAAAAGCATGTTTTTCTGCAACCTCCTCAGCTGAGGAGGTTGTAGGGAAAAAAATCCCTTTAAAAGCTTCTGGCGATCCCAGCAGATTTGCCTGATTGTCAGAAGCTTCTAAAAGCATTGTTTTCTGCAACCTCTTAAGGTTGTAGAAAAAATGCTTTTAAAAGTAAAAGTTAAAAAAAAAATTGGCCATGCCCACCCAGTCACATTACCCACAGAACCGGTAGTAAATGGACTACTCAGAGGGCTGAAAAAGTTATTTTTGACTGGTCCTCGCACTTTTGACCAGTCCTTGAACTTACGACTGTCCTCACATTTTACGTTTTGCGCCCTATCTTGTCACCGTGGTGAAGAGAAGTAGTAGTGAAATGACTGACACAGTTGTTAAGAATGCACAACGGGCATAAATGTGAGGATGGTCATAAGTGTGAGGACCGGTCAAAAGTGCAAGGACCAGTCAGAAATGACTTTTTTCAGCCCTCTGAATAGTCCCTATGCACATAGCCACGCCCACCCGGTCACATGACCAGCTAGCCACGCCTACACAGTTACATGATTGCCAAGCCACACCCCCAACTAAGCCACGCCCACAAAACCTGTTGTTAAAAAAATTGAATCCCACCACTGGGTGGGAGCCACCCAAACATCCAGGAGAACCTCATTCCATTTTCATTTTCTGGGCTAGAAAAGGGTCCCAAAGATGACTAATTGAAGGGATGTGGAGAAGATCAACCCATCAATTTGTACTGGACAGGAGCATATCATGGTGTTCCACAAGCAACAAGTCTCCATACCATGTAGAGCTTTATATATAAATGTACTGACATGCACACTTGGTGGAGCATTAAAAATAGACTTATCCTACTCTACTTTTCCTGCTAAATTCCTAAAGTAGGAATTTTCTTACTTTAATCAGTTCATTTTTCTACATATGGAGATGAATGCCTCATTTTATGTTTCTAATGTAGAATAGAGAAACCGCAAATTTAGAAGAAAAATAATCCATTCATATGCTTCTGCCTGAAGAAAGAATTTAATGTGCAGAAATATATCTAATATGAAAATGAATCTAATATGAATTATTCAACTTTTCTGAGAATATTTACATGTAGTTTGAGAAATTTATGGAGTATTCATTCTGTGGTGTTTATATTAGTCTGGTCCCATTCTGATTTGTTGGACAAATTACATTAAGTAGACATTAAATTTGGATATGCCACTTATATTATCATCTATCCACTGAATTGTGGTTGATGGTTACTACAAACTTTTTACTACTTTTCTCTGCTGCTTCAGTTTTCTCCCATGAAAAGTATTTTTCTTTACTACCAAATAATGTCACAGTACGTCACAATGTCCAGTACATTGTTATATTTGTCAAGATATAATACTCAATTACAAATTATAACAATTTCATTTCTTTTCAGTTTTCACTCCCTGTACCTCGAAATTTGAAACATAAGAACAATAAAAAAGTAAGAAAATAACCTATATCTTTTCCCTTGTTAGCATTTTGTTAGATGGTTGTATTAAAACTTCATCCTAAGCACAAAAGGTGGTAGAATATTTGTACTAATACTCATCTTTAAAGCCTTTAACCGCATCACATGTTAGTCAATCATTAAGGTTGCTTTATGAAAGAGCTAATCCAGTTATCTTGGTTTGTTTTTCTGCAGTAACATGATTATATTCATAAATATTCACAGCTCTCCTAGAAGTTATGTAGAGATGTAGAGTTATGTACTTCTTTCCAATATCAAAATCAAGGGAAGCTTTGACTGGCCAGAATGTTCTACATTTCCTACTAAAAGTGATTCCTTGCTACACTTTGAAATTAAGTGTTATTGCTAAAAAGGACAATCAATATGCACAGGGAGCTTTGATATTTATAGGGAGAAATGTGGGAAGAAATATAGCACATCTATAATCTTTTTCTGTCATTTGTCTCTTTTCTCTCCAGGGTCATTTGGTGGCCTTTCTGTGCCTTTTCCTCATGCTTATACTATGTACGTATATGACAAATGTCCACATTCCATTTCTAGCTAAAATCATTCAAGGAGAATGGATTAGCTGAGCAGTTTGCTGAACTTTCTGTCTCTTTGCACACTTTTGTTTATCTTATGGAGAAATCTGTTTGAGTCATCTAGACTTCAGATCAGCTAATTATGATCACAAAGTGTGAAAGGCCACAATAAAGTCCTCCCTGGAACTTTATTGTATTTGCAGAGAGATATGGCTTATTGGTCACATATACAGACATATTACATCCTTTCTCCCTTTGCTTGAAATAGGATAAATTTGATCCTTTGAGGGGAAAAAAAGGGCAGAAGTTACTGAACTACTTCTGTAGAAGAGTGGGGTTTAATATAATTCTTGTAGCCTGTTAAAATGTGGGAATTTGGGAAGCTTGACTGTTCATTTAACTGAAAAGGGGAATATGTGTTTCAAGAATCTTCTTGATTCTTCCCCTTTAAAAGGAGAAATAAAAATATTCAACCAATAATTTTGCTAGGGTTAATTTTTGCTTCTTTGTGTTGTCAAATCTAATTTCATATATTTCTTTGAACATGCAACTTTGTAATACTAGTCTATCCATCCTTCAGGCTAAACAAAGATATTAGTAGCATTTACAGTATAATTTTCATATAATCAGAAATAACAGTTCCCCGCAGAATCCTCTCAATATTCTAGCACATTCTATTTTGTAACATCTTTTGGTCTACCCTAGAGCATTGTTTTTTTCTTTTATAATTTTCCTTTTATGCTGCTGTTTTCGCATGATCTGAATGGCTTTTGCATCTTTTAATGTTTGTATCTGAATACTAAATGTTAATGAGAGTTTATATCTTTGTCATTTTTAAATAAAAATATTGCTTTTGATTATTTCTAGTGAGATTTGTCTCTCTTTAAAAGATGGAAGGAAGCATTGAATAATTTAGTCACATTTCTCTATACTATTGAGATTATTTTACATTTTTTACTTTTCATGAAAAGGCAGCCCTATCTTTTTCACACCCAAGAAGAAGGAATCAGGGGAAGTGCTTTCTGAAAGATAGGTGGTAGCAGTAATGGGTATTACCATTATCCCAAAACAGGGTGGAGACCAATGTATGAAGACGCAAAAGGTACCTGAGAGGAAAGGTTTGAGAACATCCGCTTTCTGTACCATAACCTTAGCTATCTGCTATAGATCTTCTAGCAGCCGTCTCCACCGTCTGGATTCTCTATCTGCTGCCAATTCTCAAGAAACACAACTATGCCAGAGAATACAGTAGTCCTTTTTCTTTTCTCCAACCTTTGAATCTCTTATCTGTCTTAATATAAAGACTGGCTTCTTAATTACCTTTATTTTCCACTCTAATAGGCCTTCTACATAGGTTGGCTTTCAGTCCTTCATACATTTTTGCTTCCTTCTGTGGCTGGATTTCTGGGTCCCAAAGCTAAGGCATGCCCACTAATACCTTCTTGTCAGAGTCATTTGAGAGTTGGACAGCATACAAGCTCCATGTATTATTATTAATATCCAAAACTAATTCTCTAAAGCAAAGAAAAGGGTTTATAGAGAACTCAGACTGGTTTTCTCATTTTCCTAAAAATCTCACTATACTATCTCATCATTAGCCATCGCAAATTATGTCTTGCTGGTCCCTAGTACCACTAAAATGTTATTTCCCCGCTGAATTCTATTTATCCTTGATTATTATTCTCTTCACTATACCTTTGGCATTTCCCTTTGATATATTTTTATTGTGTTGTTCCTCAGTAAAATCTCTCCTCTTTCTAAGACGTAGGTAATGCTGCCATTTTTGAGATCCATATTTGCGGGAGGTCTTACTGGTTAAAAGCTTCTATGTTAAAAGAGATTAGTTGTATTCTTGTTCCTTCTTGGCAGAACCTGTGTTAACATACCAATAAGTAGATAGTAAGGCAATAAGAAAACTAGACTATGTGTGCCTACAGTCCAAAGGTAAGGTTTTACAGAATGGTTTCAAATTGCTTAACAATTCTGCACATAAGATAGATCAAATAAACCAATAGTCACATTTCTCTTTGACATATCAATGACATAGTCTGGTTAAAAAAAACCAACCTACTAAAGATAAAAGGTGTGATTATGAATTATAACAGTCCAATGAAATTTTTGGCATTCTCTAGACTGAGGACTCTGGACTGACCAATTTAAATGATTTCAGTGTGGTTTAATTTGGAGGATACCGGCTTGTTAGATATGCCATATGAACATTACTATCCTTGAGTAAATTCCTATCACTGTAATTTAATTAGTGAAGGTATTTTGGCAGAACTTCATGTTAAACTAATTATAGTATTTTATTTACTGGCTTTTCAAGCCTGAGACTTTACCCAGAATCAAAATACAAACAACACTGAAAGTCTGAGCCAAGGTTTTCTAGGTGATGAGAATATAACTGAGTTCCTGTTTTATTTCAGATTTAGGAATAGGGTTTTGATCAACTCACAGGTTTTCTATACTGATGTGGCAATCTTGATAAATTAAATAGGTAAAGTTAGCTATTTAAGAAATAATATAAGAAAGATCATGAAATAGTTCGCATAAATGCTTTTTGACATCGTTGTATTATGGAAATCCCCCCTTCTCTCTCTGTGTGTATGTGTGTGCACGCACATACACACACACGTATTTGAAAAGGAAAGTATTTGGAGCAACACATTGAAGATAGATTTCCTGAAATATTTAATATATGCTTTAGTTTTGTTAACGTAAGCTTAATATCTAACAAATCTAGCATTCATAAGGGCTGATATCAAAATCCATAAATGTACATGACAGCTCTTATAATCTGTGCCAATGAATTTAAAATGACACAAAGTATTTTTTATGAAACTTGCCACTTTGCATACACTAAACATGTTAAATCATTGTAAACTGAGGATATTTTGCAGTTATTTAGATAATGTTCCCCAAAGCTTTAAGAATGGTTTATTGCAGTTTCTAAGAGTTGTCTAAATGGATCTCAAATCATGACATATTTCAGATAATATCTTTTCCCTCATTTTAATCCATCATATGTTGTAAGAAATAAAGTATTTTCTAATGTAGCATCTCAAGAAATTATAGTAAGTCAACCTTTTGATGGCTGCATGAAAATTTAGAGAAGAAACATGATCGATATGTGAAGAAGTTCAGTGGTGGCACTGAGTAAGCAGAAAATTATTTTGTTCATACAATTTAAAAATGTTTTGAATTGAGTTTAAATTCTCTATGAGATACCGTATGCTATTGTAAATGAAACATTAATACTCAAAGGAATATTTTTAGGTTATGTTAGGTACAGTGAATGGGGCAATTATTAAAAATCGATTGCTCTATGTAGAAATGCTTTCTGCTATAACCAAAGTAATCCTACAATCTTTCATGTGTAAAACATTTTCTTTCATCATTTTTTTCTACTCACACAGGTGATAGCACTGTAGCTAGAGAGAAAAATGTTTGCGCCCATATAGAGCACTTGTCTGCAACTTCTTAAATTAATAAAGAATATAGTTTTCCAAACATGAAATATAAATATCATTCTCCTACTTCACCCCCATTTGCTTCTGCTGTGAGCAAAGCAATAATGATGTTTAATTTTTATACTACCAAGGCTGGAAAAATTCTTGTAGAGTGTTAATTGTCAAAGGAAACGAAAAACTCAAAATTTGATATGCTTGTTTAAATTGTCAAAAATCATTTTCCTCTGTATTAACATCTTATTTGGTGAAGAGATCTGGGGAAATGAAAAGTTTCTATGTGCCTTTGAAATGATTATGTTGTTATCATTGAACTCCTAGAAGTAATTAAAGAAAAGTTTAAGCTACTACATGTTAAAAAAAGATGTGTATATGTGTGTGTGTGTTTAAGAATTTAACAAACTATGAAAGTATATTATATTTCATGAATTGAGAAGATAACATGATCATTCTGTCCTAACTTATAAGATACATTTAAAATATTAGAATTTCAATTATATACTAATATTATTTATTTACAACTCTTTTATGAAGTTTCAGTCATGAGAATCATGACTTACAAATGCTTTATAACAATAATAGAAAAAAAATACACTCACAAAACACATACACATATACACATGATTCTCTAACATCAGTAACATTAAATGAAATAAAGTAAGATATTTATTTATTTATTTATTTATTTATTTATTTATTTATTTATTTATTTATTTATTTATTTATTTATTTATTGGTTCGATTTATATGCCGCCCTTTTCCAGAGACTCAGGGCGGCTTACAATGCGTTAAGCAATAGCCTTCATACTTTTGTATATACCTGCTTAGTACGGCTTTCGGCACCCCCTAAGCGGTGTTCTTTTTTATACAAAGTCAGCTTATTGCTTTTAATGCCTTTACAAATCAAGGGCATATTTCATCATGTGCTCATTTTCCAAAATTGTATGCTGATTGTTGGTTATCAGTTGTAATAAAATGTCCAACATTGTTGCAGTTTAAAATTGTTATAATATTTCCAATATTTTAACTGCAGATATATAATATCCTTTATAGAAAGCCAAACCCAGCCCCTCAGCTATTAAATGATATATTAAGCAAATTCATTTTCTACATATGCATCTTCTAAAAAACAATGTGTCAGACCTACCCCAGTCTGATCCCTTAGGAAAGTAAAACTCTCGACTCCAGTTGGTTGAAGTGAAAGGACACTTTTACTAAAGGATGCTGATTGTAGTAGAGTCAAGCGGAATCTAAAATTCCTGCACGCCAATACAGAAAGAAAACCCTGGCTCCCACTAGACCTCCCTCCATGGTCCCTCCATGCCAATCCAGCACCACCGAGATGTTATGAGAAACACTGAGGTATTTGGGCCGGTGAAATTCCACTCTCAGGGCTAATGGCCTTGAAGATGCCGGTGTACTGGGGCGAACTGGATTCCAAAATGCTCTGTTCTTCCTCAACTGTCAATTTTTTTAAAAAAAAATGATTTATATGCCGCTC